TAGAGGGAAGTGAATGAATACAATGTGTTTCTGCACTGGAGAAAAGGATAATTTCTAAGACAGATTTTCTTTTGTTACATAAATTTACCTGTTGTATTGATTCAGTTCTGAGACAAGTTCTTGAGACTATCTCAAAAGTGGTGAGGAACCACAAAAAGACCCTCACACAAATGGTAAACTCTTGTCAGATCAAAGAAAATGAACCGTTTCTGTCCTTTAATTCAATCTAACAATGCAAATAACCCTTCCGTTTGATATATCGCCTTGTTACAATGCTGAAATGCCTCAAAAAGCTTTACAGGATTTACCGTAAAGTGTAGTGACTTTATTTTTAGGCGAATCTGACCTGGAATAATGGATGATGCTCTCGTTTCTCTTCCCTGGTTATTCCCTTTGTAGACGTTAAACACAGAGGGAGGGTTGAGTCTTTCAAATTGATCTTCGATATATGATGAGTGCTCACACCTGCCTCCTCTAAGATATTTTCCCTCGCCTTTTCAGAGATTCCAGTCACACCGTTCATCAGATTATTTTGATAATATATTCTGTTAAAAAGCTGTTCGTAGCAAAGCTTTACTTTAGCCACCATAACTGGGCTGCCTGCCAACGTTAACAAAAATGCAACCTACATTGTAATACTTCCAGTCACCTTCAGCAATGCGGTGGATATAAATAATGTTCTGGATTGTATCCCGCTAATGTGACTGAACTATTATCCACAAAGATTGGATCCTTCAATGAAAGATGACCTTTTTTAAATGATGCATGCTACCGCGAGGATTCTGTGATTTAGTTACACAAGAAACTATTCGCTGTAATGTTCTCTCGGGAACTCCTGCTTTGATCACACTGAGCGACTGACTTCCAATAACCCAAGCCACCATTTTGTGCTTTAAAACATTATGTGCTGCTCACTTTTAAGTGCAGATTACGAAACATAAGAGGCTAACCGAGTATCTGGTTCATAAATTGAAGAAATTCAATTTGGTGGTTTCTTCTAGTGTGGATACCAGTTAACATTTATGTACCTGTAATAATCCTTATATCAGAACGCCGTGAACATCAATGACTCAAAACGCTATCAAGGATAAGCGGCTGTCTATTTCCATACAAGCTGCTGTGAAGAGAATGGCCAATTTGCCTGGAGGATCGTTCACCGGGACAGTGGGAGAAACTTTCCCTTCTCTTTTCGAATCATGCTGTCGGAGTTTTTGACGTCCACTTGAACCAGTCAGGCGGGATCTCGTTTTAGCATTTCATCCAAAGAATGAACCCCCCCACCCTCTCCGACAATGCAGGGCTCAGATAGAACTTGCATTGCAGTGTCAGGCCAGACACTGAGCTATAAGTCCTGATGTGGGGTTTGAACCCATAACCTGTTGAGAATTAAACCCACTGAGGAAAACTGAAAGGTAAGGCATTTGTATTTTGCGTCTCGTGCCTTCTGGGCCTCAACTGCCATTAGTGTCCTGTGAGCAACGTGAGCACCTGAGTGTCTTGGGCAATATTGACCGTCGAAAGTGTAGAAGAGAGTTATACAAGAGAGATTTCACCAACGAAAGTTTGTGGCAGCGTTTTCACTCCCACTGGTCCGAATAGAAGCAAAGTAACGGCTTCTGCAGGAGTGACTAAGCGCTCTTCCCTCTCATGGCATTTTAGTTCCATGTGTGTCTTCGCGATGGATTTGGGAACTGTGCGCTATTGACCGAGAAATAGTCAATTTAGAATTTCATAGGGGTAAAATATCAACCTGTGGGACGGCAAAATTGGCGGTTGTGAGGGCACTGCAGAATAAATTGGTCTCGTGTCTGTGAATGAATCCCATTTTAAAAACTCTGCGTGTCTTTATTAAGGAGGTTAAAGAATGCGGAGTTGTTTATTTTTGTTTTTTGAGCATTTTGCATGTAGTCTCGGTGCAAAAAAACATGCAGCGATAATTTTTCTTCCCCCTTTAAGTCTTTTAGCACAATCTCAAATCTGTTTTCATTATTTCACAGGAGCAAACACCAGTACTTATCTCAAACTGTTATTAGGTGCAAACATCTTTATTTCGGTGATGTACTGCATTGCACTTGCTAAGTTTTACTTGACAGTGTTATAGTTTTAATCACCTATTAACTGGACATGATGGATGATGTGTCAGTGACGAAAATTAAAATCCAACCTTATTTGCATGTAATTGCATTTAAAGAAAAATGGTACAAACCGTTCTTAATAGCGCAAATGAAAGCACGTTGTCACCAAGCAACTCAGATCTTCTCCATTGCAAACCGTAAAAAAAAAAAAAATTTGAGGCAATGGGGCCTTGCCTGCATTTTGCTCCACACGGAACATTTACATATTTCTACTGTGTACGAGTTCAACCGCATTATAGTCTTGTGAGATGCATAACACTTGGTAAAAGCGAAACATCTGGTGTTTAACGATTATGTCAGAGACAATTAAACATCACCGTGTAGTTTCTTTGTTTCATGCTCCACTGAAGAATTTGTTTGTTGCCTCGTATGTCACCATCCTTTTATAGATGTAGGAACATCAAACCCTGCCACATTAATTCTGTTTGTAAGCGTTTTTATATATATATATATATATAAATCTATTATATACAATATATATTTTTTTAAAGTTCTTCCTCTGTCCTGTCCTCCCTTCAGAGTTCACTGAGGTGAAGTTATTGCGTGTGGGTGTGAATATGCACTTGATCTTTGAATCTCGTCGGGATGGCTTAAAATTCAAACTATCATGGTGCTCCTTGTGTCTCTTTAGAATGCTTTCTTCAGGACGTTTCCTGCCTAGGTTTCCGAGTTAACTCAAAAAAAGGGAATTTGTTTTTTCCAAACTTGAAATGCAAAGCTTGAACTCTCTTTCCTCAGTTCACGCTGGAGGTGAAGGTGATTTTAAACGAAAAGAGATGGCCTGACTAAGTATCGGGAGGCAGGAGTTAGACTTCCAGGTTGTCTGACAAGGTCCTCGACCATTCCTGCTGTTGTGTGCTCCTCAGGCTGGTGGTAAGACAACACGTCACCACCCCCACCCATGACAGCAGGATCCAACACTTTGTCAGTCTTACTGCAGTGGACAGGATCCAGCACTTTGTCAGTGGCTGCAATCTAGTGACATGATCCTATCACTATAGTTGCAAAGGAACAAGAGGAGGCCAGTCAACCACGTCGATATATATGCCAGCAGCTCATGGTAGATCTTTGTTAGAACTATTCCTACATTTCCTCCTTATTGCTCAATCACTTTGCTTCCCAAATATAATATCCACTCTATCCATGTTATCCTGGTTGTGTTGGTGCTTCACAATCAAACAGTCTTTAATTTACGTTTTCTTTCCTTAAACAATCAATGATGAATGTTTGTTTTTTTTGCTCTATTTTCCACACACACTGCTTCATCTTCTTTCCAAGGAATGGATCTATACAGTCTGTAGGGACGTCCTTTCACTGATGCAAGTTTTACAAACAGCGGCCTGTGTAAAACCTGTGTTTCACTTTGAAATTCCTTACTTATTGCTCATCTTAAATCAAAATGGCATCTGTGCATTTAATAAAGCTCTTATTTTACAGCACATCCCTTGGGTCCTGAGAAGTGTTTTGCAAAACACTCCACACGTCGTAAATTTCAGTGTTCGTGACAATATTTTATACGGTTGAGGCAAAATTGCGCACAAATTTACTTTGATAATGAATAAAAGTAGCAATTACTGTAGATCAAATTAAACGTCTAACCTTTTCAAAATGGTTGTAATTAGTAAAGCTCTGACAACATAAATATTCAATTCCCTTTATGTGGGATGTGCCCATTATTGAGGTTAAAGTCTTAGATCTAGAACTGTCTTAAATTTAAACCGTCCGCATCATAAATGGCGACTTCTGGTCATACCAATAATTTGTCTCAAAACACTTTTACTCACTACACAATAATTCATTTGATGGAGATGCACTTGACTCTGTTCATAAAATGTTGGATACTTAAAAAAAAATTTGCTGAAGATGAGACCCTGGAAGTCACGTTGACATTAGGAGCGAGGAAAAGTACATCAGTATCTCTTTGTGATGTTCAATAGTCGATCATAGCATGACACAAAGCAATTACTGCACTGGGTATGTGAACAATGCCAAACTTTGGAAATGTCTACTCATTGCCTGAAAGCAATAGATTAGTCATATTTTGGTTTACCTGGGAGATGCGGTGGAAAATAAGAGATTTACCTAAGGTTTGGAGTTGCTGACGTCAAATTAGCTTTGGGTCATGGCTGAAAATTGAGTGACTATTCTGACATGTGGCTAAACATGTTGTTTCTAAGCGCTCTCTTGAAAGAAAATCAGGTCCACTATTAGAGGAACAGTTAGATCGACCAGGACATACCACATAGGTCCAGCAGTCACCAGCAGTTCAATTTATTTTAAACTATTTGCTGAATGAAGAGAGAAAAAAAAATAATAATAAATTGATCGCTCAATCCACCACTGTGGGGACACTGCTGTGCACAATTGGCTGCCGCGTTTTGCCCATAAAATATACAGTGTATTCTGTGAAGCGCTATGAGACGTTTCGAAGGCGAGATAAGGCGCTATATCAAATGCAAGGATTATTATTAAAATGTTGAATTAATATGTTCAGATCTTACACAGTTCAAAGATACTGCTTTCAGGCTGAACAAACCACAATAGCCTAGTGCCACAACCTCATTACGTTAGCAATTAAAACTCAGCCGCACTTCCTGACTCGGAAACCTTGTTACATTCGAGCTTCAAGTCGGGAGGATCTGAATTTCAGATCTTCTGGAGGCAATTGCTCATCTCTCCACACAGCCCTCAGTGTTATCAATATCATTAGACAAATACTGAAGAAGCGGTTCTCCAGAGGGTTTGTGTATTAATTTATATCAAACTGATGTTTTGAACTCAAGCTGTGATCAAATATTTTGAGAACATTGGTTGCATTCAATTAAGTTGAAAACTTTTCCCCACCCCCAACTTTTATATTTCCAGATTCACGGACCTAAAGGATTCTTCAGGGAAACTCGATTTTAATCTGCTTTCACCTCCCAAGAAAGAATACTGGGCCATGTTAGCCTACAACCGGTCAAAGCTTTGCAATATTCTCTTCTCGAATGAGCTGAACAGGCGCTGGTCACCTCATGGAGTAACATCCAATGTTTTGCATCCAGGAAACATGATGTATTCCAACCTGCACCGCAGCTGGTGGCTGTACACCCTCTTGTTTTCCTTGGCTCGTCCGTTTACCAAGTCTATGGTAAGTAACCAACTCACACACCACTTTAGTACGAATCAGATTGCAAGTCCTGCGAGGTCTCAAATTCTCATTAAAACACCAGCTGTACAGATTTCAGGCTACGTCAGATAAACTGTGTGGGCAGTGCCTGCATTGGTGTTGGAGGCTTATATTTACCTGATTCTAAATGCGTGATTTTTAAAGCAGTGGGATGTGGAGAGATGGGAAAGGACAGGGACGGGGTGGGACAGGGCTGGGTGTCTGTTGATGTTGGGGTTTGATATATGGCGTTTGATGAGTGCAGTCGCAAAGAGCGATTCTTGACTGTAATCGCAAGCTTCCCATCCTGATACCGACTCCTTCTCCTGATCAGCATACATGGGATCAGTGGTAGCCAACCTGTAGCCCTCGGGCCGGTATTGGCCCCCGAACATTCGCACAAGTCTAGGTAAGTCTGTGGTCGATTGGTCCTGTGTTTTCAGTTTTTTTCTCTTGATTTATGGCCAATTTATTTTGTGGCAAACATAAAGATTGGCCCACCACTGTATTAGATCCTACTTCGACTTATCAAAAAAAAANGACTACTTTTTCTGTGACGATTTCCACGGTGTGCCATGTTACACTTATGTAAAGTGCTGGAGCATATCCCCTTGGCTGTTAGTGCTGTAAATTCTGGATCCTCAGCCAAGGAAAACAGGATTCTAACATCAAACTGATTGTTTGTTTGGCCGCAGGTTTTCGGATGAAACCACCTCTCATCGAATGCCACATAAGTGCCTGCGGGTTACATCTATGTATTTCAAATTCATGCCTCAAGTGTTGCAGTTTATTTGTTATTCTGGCACGGCTAAGAGCATTAGATCTGGAGATGTGAGAACTATTTTGATGGCAAGATGAATGGTTTAAAGAAACATCCGTGCTAGTCTCGATGATATGGCCTGTGGTAAAAGGCTTGAGTCGTTTTATTCTTCCTGAAACGATTTCCCCTTTTATCCAGATGAAGTACTTTTGCTGGAGAGAAACGAATATGTCTCTGGAATATTTTCCTCCCGAAGTCTATCACGAAATATTCCAGTCGTAAGCACGTTTATTCCCCTTAGACCAATTTGTTCACTCTCAATGGGACTCTCTCGCGAAACTGTGATGGTGAAGGTGTTACGAAGATTCTGAATCAAAATGGCAGATCTCCACACAGTGGGCATTTGGAGAAATGTGACTTGAGGGTAATAAGCGGTTGGCACTGGAATCTTTTCTGATTGGGTAGTGGAAGGGCGGGGAGAGTAATTCTTTGAACAGATAAAGCACTGCACTACTGGACTTTGATTACCTTTCACTCATTTTATTCCCATCTACTGTGATCACCATTGTTCTTGTGGAGCGCAGCTATAATAGCAAGAAACTAGGGTGAGGGGTTCAATAAAAGTCTGTGTTCTCTTGCATTCTGATAAATATTGGATCCATAACTAATACACCATAGGAATAAACTACTTTTGGAGACCCAATGGGGAGCTTGGATCCAGGGAAGCAGTGACTGGAAGGAACTTGTTTGAACTGGTCACTAGGACGAGATGTGAAATTTGTAGGCTTGTCAGGCAGATTACCATTATCCCCTCGCTCTGCACAATCCTTCATTCGGATAAATATTTTTGTTGGCAGGTTATGAGTAGAAGAATAGTGTGTGTTTGAGTAGCAAGAGCTTAGCAGATGTTTCGAGCAAACTAGAGTGTGTGTTTTTTTTTTCCCCCCCAACCCCCCATTCCTCTCTTGAGCGATGGATCAAAATGCCCAGAGCTTGCAGAAAAAAAAGTTCTGAGACTATTGGGTTTCTTTTCCGGTTCTCGCCGATTGCCATCCATTGTGCTGGAGTTTTAACAGATGTTCTCCCCTGCTTTAATAGATGGGATGCAAACCTAACTTCTGTTTGAATGGTATAAATTATCTCGCGGTAAAAAAGCACCAATCTGTCATTTGGTTTCTGGGGAACTTCCTTTTCACCTTCTTTCAAATCAGGTGGGGGTTTTATTTAAAAATATTGCTCCATTTATGAGCTTCATTCAGGGAAGGAAGACCTCTTGCTTTCTTTGGCATAGGACTGCATTAGTTTGGTATCTAACTATCTAGAAACTCCTGCAACTTGAGTTTTTATTTCATATCCCTCCCCATCCTTTGAGAAAATGGATCTTAACAAACAGAATGTGTTTTCGTTGAGAGCTGGTCTTACAACCTTCTGTGTTACAGAAACTGGAACTGTAGCTGCTTATTTCTCCAATTTTACCTACTTTTGTGTTTGCTCTGTACTGTATAAAGCCTTTTGCTGCTTTTTAAAACGATTACTAGTCCCATACTAAAATATCTTTAGAACTCTTGACTAAAATACTAGTTAAAAGGTCTATTTTTAATGCGCGTTTCAATCATGTTCATTAAAAGAAGATTTTGTTTTAAGGAATCCGGAGTAATCTTGAAAATTGACGAATGTTTGTTCAGCTGGATGGAGTATATACTTTATCCGAGCTAAAAGGAAATCGCTTCTGACTTAGCAAATAAAAGAGAGTAAACAGGAGAATTTTCATTTAATTGTAATGAGAGTGCCACAGCGTTCAAAACACTGCAATAAAAACGTAACCGTGAAGCCTAAGAAAATATATCTCATAGGTTCACTGATTTATTAAAGTTGGCAATGCTTTTTCTCCTTAAAAATTGTGGGTTTTTACATTGTTCGAATGCATTTTACAGTCCAGTGTACTGCATGGATGTCTGAATCAAACTAGTTGTACATGATCAGATTCTGTCTTCTGTTTCTTTCTCTCCCCCACCTCCTTCCTTACCCGTCACTTCTATGCAGTGGTACAATAACTCATATTAAATACATTAACTTGTACCAAGTACGAAAACCACAGTGGATCCAAAAGGATCATGTGTCAGGGTTTTGGAGCTTTTCAACGTTTATTTCCTTCAGTCCTTTTTCCTTCTCATTCCTTCCATCTGTCATGTGTAACTATTAAACAGAAGGCAGAGTATATTACCAAGGCTCCACACTCTTCTTTCCCTCCCAGCTATAATTTGAAGAAACGTACAATATGTAGAAGAAAATAAGGCGTACCAAAGTTTAATTTGCAATTTCCATTGCTAACCGAAATGTATCAGGAACATTTCACAACTACTCAATCTGTTACTTTCCAATCTGTGCACAAAGTGAGACTTTATATGTCAAGATCTAACATAGAGCAAAAACACAGATTAATTAACCCACGTGAAATCAAGGTGCTAGGCAATTGCTAAGTACATTATCAATTGCTTACCAACTTGCTCTAAGGAGAACCCTTTCCTTCAGCGATGTGTTTGTGCATCGTTTCTACATTTTTACATTATACAAATGTAATTTTGTATTGTGTTACTGTTTGATGATATCACTCATTGCCAGTGCACTCCTGTGTAAGGTGAATCTCAGACATGTCACCTGAACAGATAGATATGGACCACACGTGATCGATAGCAAGCCGTGCGAGGAAGTAAGAAATTTGCAGTCCTGGCCTGGTACTGAAAATAAGGTGCAAGCAGTTGAAAGGAGTGAGCTTGATGGACAAAATGATCTTTTTGGTTCCACCCTTGTGAAGGCACAGTTGAGATCACAAGCTCAGTATGTGGGGGAACACAGGTCTGAACTTGCAACCTGCTATCTCCACGGGGCAATGAAATCATGCTGCAAATTGGAACATCACCAGAGCAAACGTCATGCTTTATGTTCTGTACAATGTGAGACTCCTGCAATGGGATTAACGAGCTGGGTGGAAAGGTTCAGCAAAGACTGACTTGTGTTGTGAAGCTCTCTCTCGGTCCTTTGAGAGGTGTGAGTGTGTGTTTTTTGGAAAACTTGACCCCAAACTCTGCTTTGCACCTTGAGTCGCTCCTTATCTTCGGAATGATTGTGCTTTTGGAGACACCAACTGTTATCCAACCGAGAAACAGAGCTGTTTTTTTATAAAAAATAAACAAATAATCTATTGGCTTTAGCAATAAATGGTTAGGGAGAAAAGTAGCACAAAAATAAAAGTTGCAGCAATATGGAGTGGGCAGTTGGCTACGGTAATGTGGGAAATCAATCAGATAATTACAGGGAACTGGGACTGCAGCCAGTACAGGGTGGAGGACCAGCTTATGTGCTGAAGAGAAATCTAGTCAAACTGTTGGATCCCAACCGAAGGAAGAGATTGATTAATTTCTTCTTTGTCGTAGTGTGTGTGTTTAAAAACAACCAATAACCGCGAAAGGTAGTATTGGTTCCGTCCGGTCTGTCTCAGCTGTAACTGTGTGGGAGATGACCTGATACGCGAAGGTAAAGATGCAATAAAGAAAGGGAATTATTAAACAAAAGTAAGGGAGAAGTAATTGGCTTAGAATGTCACACTTCATACATGATCCACATAATGCAAGCAGCAATTCATCTAAGTGATTTATTAGAATGCCTGCTGTGTTTGATTAGAAGCCAGGGACAGGGGAATTTCACCACCTCCTCTCAAGCCTCTTTCTGTTGGTACTTTTTTTCTCATAATTGTGCATTTTACCCCGTTTGCCTCTGAAATTTGCGGATTTGTTCTGCAGAGCTAAAGTTAATTAAAACTTCTTCAAGCAGTCTTAACGCGAGTGTGGTTCATTTTGATGATTTTCACACAAAGGCGTTGCTTCTGAGAGAAGAAGAATCTGTTTTTATTAGACCGAATCTTGCACCATCTTTAAGAAATCCTTATGCCCTTTCTCTTGTGTAAGGTGGGCATTTCGTTTCTCTTGCCCACTCCTCACATTTGTTTGGTAATTTTCAGTTGCAAACGTCATCTAACTTTAAAGCTTTGTGCTGTTATCGCGCTTACGTTGTGTGTCGAATATCAGGAGAGAATCCAGAAATGGTAGCTATCTATACGATCACAAGAGATGTTCTGAGGAAGAAGGCCATTTGGCTTATTTGATCTCATCCCTTCCAAACCACTCATTACTGTTCTTGATTACCTTTTGTATAAAAGATATAG